AGACAGAGCACAAGAGAGAGAGACAGAGAGAAAGTGAGAGAGACAGAGACAGAGAGAGAGACAGAGACAGAGGGAGAGAGAGAGGCAGAGATAGAGATGGAGAGAGAAGGAGAGAAGGGGAGAGATGGAGAGAGGGGGGGAGAGACAGACAGAGACAGAGACAGAGACAGAGACAGAGGCAGAGACAGAGAACGGACAGAGAGAGCCCCAAGGGGATGGAGTGGGTAGTGGAAGTGAATTCCTGGGCTTGGTGAGGCCCAGAGTCTCGGTGATGTGTGGGTGGTTTGAGGTCTGATTGGGGTTCAGCTGGGAAGGCAGCCGCATGGGGATGGAGGACATGGGGGCGGGGACATGGCAGACTGTAAATAAATTTTGAACAAACTCAACCATAAGTGTTTGGAGTCTTATTTTCATGGCGTGCGGAATTCCTCCTCATCCCTGGTGCAGAGATAGCCTTTCTAAGGATGACTTGGAATCCAACAGCAAAACAAAAGATTGACAAATTTGACTACCAAACACAGGTAACATTTCTGCAGGACAAAAACATAAAGGATGAAAGAGGCTTGAGGAGCTGGGAGAAACCTTCTTAGCATTTGCCTTGAACAAGCTGCTAAGTCCTGAACCCACAGAGGGCTGTAGAAGTATAAGATTACATGAACAAATGAAAAAGAAACTCGAGAAAAAGACTAGTACAGGCAATTCATAAGAAGATGTGAAAACGGCCCCACACATAGGAGAAAGCACTTCCTACTTGTAACAACAGAGAAACAAACCCTGGGAGCTAACTCCTCCTGTGGGAAGTTGGTCCAGAAGCGGGTGGATGAAGCAGGGACTCGACACGGGCCAGCAGGGAAGCTCGCTGGTGTGGTCGTTTCCGAGGCAGGCTCAGCAGTGCCTGGCAAGGCGCACACCCAGCTTCACCTGGCAGTGCCACGTCCAGACGCCTCCCCAGGATGCTCCTCCAGTAATGCTGAGCGCAAGTACGTGAGACTCTCGCTATTGGGAGCTGATCGTAGTTACAGGACCCTGAGACAGCACGGGGCTGCACACGTGAGGGCGCGTCGAGGGCCTGCGCTGCGGGAGGCTCGTACTCCAGCAGCAGCTGACAGCCGTCCTTCCTCCTGACAGAATTCCCCGCGGGGAGAAGGAAATCAAGCCACCCTCTGGCCAACAGCATGCTAGAAGGTGACGCAGGTCAGGCCTGCTGATGGGCTCAAGTCTGTGCGTAGAGGTTTAAGGACAACCAGAGCCTGCCTAGTCCCGGGATCTTTCCCAAGTGCTTCCCAGGTACCAAGTGGAAGGCGACGCTTCAGAGCGAGAGGCCGCAGGCAGCAGCTGGGCCCCACGCCAAGGTCCACGCGGCCAGGAGGAGCATCGTCGAGGTTGCCCACCCGCTGGCAGAGTCCTGGGAAGGACAGGGCACCGTCTGTGAGGTGGGGCTCCCCAGAGCTAAACTCACTCCCTTCAGGGGAAGAGGCTGGAAAAGCCCGATCCGAAGAACAAGTAGAAAGCTATCAGCTGGTCCTTTCCTGAAGGGCAATATGGGCCTGGGACACAGAAGGGACATCAGAGAGCTCCAGGGTTGGAAGAAGGGCCACATCCATCTGAGGCCATGTTACCATACAACTGTTAACCTCTTCCTCCTGGCAACTGTTCTGTAGTTATGAGATAGTTAAACGCTGGCAGACTGAGCACAACGAGTGTAAGAGGTTTCTTGTGCTATTTTTGTGACTCAGATATCTGAAATTATTGGCAGTAAAAAGCTAAAAAGCAATTTTCTCAGTTTTTATTTCGTTGGCTAGAAACACTGTTATAGAAAGGAATGGACTGTCAGGCGATCTCTTCCCAGCGCGCTCTGACCATAATACCCGGCTGAGCGCCGCACTTTCCCGCGTGGATCCTCAGCGCGCGCACCTGGCTCCGGGGGGAACTCTAGGTGGGCGGGGCTTCGGGGGGCTCCCCAGCAGAGCCTCACGCAGGTCCAGAGCCCACTGCAGTCACCGCCTGCAAGGGCGCTAGCTAACGCCCCCACTTCGTGTCCAAGCTTGCTGCGAAAAGGCTGCGTTTCCAGTGGGTGTCCAGATGCGCGGGATCTGAGTGCAAATTCCTACGCACCTGGCTAGGAAGGACAGGGGCGCCGCCGAGAGGGGCCGGGCACAGGCTCCTTCCCCTGTTCCTTCCCAGCAGCATCCCCCATCTCTCCGCCCACTCACTGGAGCGGGGCCTGAGGGCAGGGCAGAAGGGCCACCGGTTCAGCCCCAGGACGGGCCATGCTGGTCACCGGCCCCGGAAAGCCCCAGGGTCTCGGATGCTGCTTCCACCAGGAATGAGGAGATTGCTACGCCTCTCCTAAGAATGTCGTGGAATCAAGAGCATCAGCAAATACTGATGTAAGACAGACACACTGCAGACAGCTTCTCCTCTTTCTGAGAGCTAGAATTCTGCGTCCAGCCAGCACAGGGCTGGGGCAGTGCAGTGGCAGAACCAAGTCTGCTTCCTCGCATAGACAATGAGGGCCGTGAGGCCTGTCTCACGGGATGGGCTCTGCGTACCATCAGTGACAGCCTCCAGCAGATACCTCAGGCTTTCGCTGGCCGACTGTCACTAAATGCCACTGCAGAGAGCTACTGTGTGCGACTTCTTCACAAGGCCTGGTTACTTAGCCGATAAAGGACAAGCGTGCCCCATGGAACTCAGTAGTGAGGACAGATGGCCTAACTCCCTGTGGGTGGTGTAGGCAACTGGGCTTCACATTCAATCCTCAGTCATGACCTGCACATTTGCTCTTACGAAGTCTGTCTATGTTTTTTCATTTGGATTCAATGGTTTCGGATTCTTTTGCTTTCAGGTTGAAAGAGGGTTTTGGGGTCACCGCTCCCCAGGAAGGTTCCAGCCTCTGAGGACATTCCACAGCCAGTCATCTCTACTTAGTTTCCCAAGGAAAGGCTTCCAACGCACAGCCCTTCCTGACCCAGCTTCCTGCTGGGCAGCATCTGGGCCCCTGAGGACGACCAGCAAGGAGCCCACCGGGATGGCCTGGGCTCAGCTGGCTGCACCCTGCTCGCCACCCCACCCCGACCCTTCTCGGCATCTCCTGGTCAGGAGCCTTCTCCTCCAGGCCTGTTCTAGCCTCCCAGCATTCCTGCTGTCTTCTGAAGGGGGCAGACACAAGCCACACCTGCCAGCCCCATCCCCTCTCAGGAGGGCCTGCTTTCTGGCCTGCTGCCAGGTGGGGGTGGGTGGGGTCTCCTCTAGAGCAGCTCTCTGTTCCCCCAACCAGCCTGCCTGGTGCTCAAATTCAGCTTCCTAAAAACCTTGGGAGTTCTACTCCAGCTCACAGGACACTGTGGGTCCTGTCCCCTCCCTCCCTCCTTCCCATCCTCCCTTCCTCCATCCCTCCCTCCCTCCCACCCTCTCTCTCCCTCCCTCCCTGTCACCCCTCCTTCCTTTCTCCCTTCTTTCCTTTCCTCCCTCCCACCCTCTCTCCCTCCCCCTTCCTTCCCCCTTCCTCCCTCTTTCTCTCCCTCCCTTCCTTTCTCCCTTCTACAGCCTAGCTAGGAGCCAGCATGCTTTTGCCTTTCCATTTACCTTCTTGGGAAATCTTTGTTGATATTATTAAATTAATAAGCTGTATTTTAAAAAGAGATTCCAAATGGACAGAACTGCGCAAAGCTAGAGGCCCATATGGCCTCTTCCCTGCCCTGTTTCCTGATCTGCTAACTTCTTTCCACAGCATGACATCTGCTACATGGCCTGACCCGTAGGGACACACTTCTTCTCCTGAATTTCAGGGTTCACACCAGGGTTCCCCCTGTCAGGTGTGTCCTGGAGGTCGGGCAAATGTATCACGTCACAGCCATCACATGGCATCCCATGGCAGAGTCCCGCGTGCGCGTCGGCAGCTGCTGGTGACCTCTGGCTGTGGTCGGCACCACGTGCCCTTTCTAGAAGGGCACACGCTGTGGCCTTGCGGGGCTGCCTTCCTCCACCTGGGCTTGGGGGCTCAGCTGGCCTCGGGACTGCACTCGCTCTCTGTGTTGGTCCGCTGTCCTCATTCCTGTCCCTGAGCTATGTCCCATCTAAGCGCCAAACAACGAAACAGACAGAGGAGGAGTATCATTCCTCGCAGACTGGCCGGGCTGTGCAGGGTACAGCCCGGCTGCTGCTCGGGGCGCCCGGAGCGCTCACCATGCCCGTGTTCTCTCCCCGGTGTTGCCACCACCTGTCACACAGGCGAGATGCGTGCTCAGGCCTGTTGGGGACCCACCAGCTGGGCTGTGCACTGGAGGTGAAATGATACCCCCAGAAACATAC